AGGATGGCCAGTTTGAGCGCAGCCTGGACAACGTAGTGACTTAGCGAGATCCTTGTGGGGGGATTGGACACAGCCACCCCTGGGCCTGGTAGTGGGGGCTCAGGAGTGCCAGAGAGCCCTGGTCCTGAGTCACTTACCTCCAGGCCATCACCCTGAACCAGGCTTTCCTGATCCTGGATTCCTGCTGGCCTCTCAGCCTCCACCTGTTTCTCCGAGGTGCCCTGGGGGCGGGGTGTAGACCCCCCTCAGCCTGCACCCGATGCCCTTGCTCATCATCTCTGTCCCCCATTCAGAGCTCAGGGACATTGGAGGTGGACACACCTGCAAGCCTTTCACCGCAGCTCTGCCCCGGCTGGCCCAGTCCTGGGTCAAACTGGATTCCTGGCCCCTCAGAAAGAGCTGCGCCCACCCCACCCTGCACAACTCCCTGGGGTGTTACTCGGTGCCCACTGTACCATAACCTGAGTGTGTAGCGCCCCCTGGAGTTGTGCTCGGCACACAGCACCCCTTCGCTGTCCAGCTCTCCCCACACCCCACAGCTGTCCCAACCTGAGTTCTTCCTTCCTTTGAAGTCTCAGAGGCTGCCCTGGCCTGGCTCTATCGAAGGCTCTATCCCTGAGGGATAAACACCATTTATTTACTGGGGGGAATGGTACCGCCAAGTCTGGCCCCTGCTTGCTCTCCCCTCCCAGTTCTGACCAAGCAGTTTCCAGCTTCTGTCTCTTCTGCCCTGGTCCTGAAGGGCATCACCTCCAAGCCCCGCACCCCTGGTCCTCATCCCCAAACAACTCCTCTGGCCAGTGCTGGGAAAGTTGCTGGCAAGGCCAAATGCACAGATGCTGATGGTTTAAAAAATAATAATTAATAATAATAATAGCAGTACTGGTGCTGTGTGACGAAAGTGATAAGGACAGGACTGGGCGGGGCGCCATCTCAGTGGAATTTCTCTTTGACACTCCCAGGGCTTCCTGTCAGATTCTCCCCCGAGGGTCCTGCCCTCTCCCCTCACAGAGCCTGGGTGTGAGGTCTTCGGGTCATCGGGTCCTGCCTCAGGTCGGCAGGGCCCGGCTGCTGCCCCTCCTTATCTGTCCCCGAGAACATCAGGTGCCCCTGGCCGTGACTCAGTGCCTGAGCTCAGCCTGGGAGAGGGCAGTTTCTTCTGAGACTGGTGGTGACTCAGGGCCTGGGGCTGGGGCCTTTGTGCCTTTCTTTGTTGGCCACGGCTCAGGAATCTAGAGAAACTGGTCAGGGGGAGGCCCCTGGGCTCCGGCCCTCCTCCAGCCCGCCCCTCCGCTGCAGCGGTATAACTGCACCTGTGTCCTGATTGCTCCCAGGCAGCTGGCGGCGGCAGTGGCGGGAAGGAACTGGTCTGGTCACACCTGCGGAGGGTGGCTCAGCGGCGACTGGCTTTGTCTCTGGCCTCTGGGGGAAAGGCTCTCCCTTCCTCAGGCGCAGCTCGAACTCCTCAGCCGGGTCGGGCAGACGAGCCATGGCGTCCATGGGGCTGCAGGTGCTGGGCATCGCGCTGGCTGTGCTGGGCTGGCTGGGCGCCATCCTAAGTTGTGCGCTGCCCATGTGGCGCGTGTCGGCCTTCATCGGGAGCAACATCGTCACGGCGCAGACCAACTGGGAGGGCCTGTGGATGAACTGCGTGGTGCAGAGCACCGGCCAGATGCAGTGCAAGGTGTACGACTCGCTGC